TTATTTTCTAAATATTTCTTTTATTCTTCCACCTGCTATTCTGTGGATGGCTGCCTAATGGGGCCATCTGAGGCTTAAATGAGATGAGTAATATAAATGCACTTAGTGCCTTTTGCCTGGACCACTACATGGGCAAGTCTCTCTGTTTCTGGTGGTGTCCCCTTCCAGCCTCTTCTCCCTCTGGCACCGCCTTTCAGCGAATACCTGTCTACCTCACACCCTCGCTCTCGCACTATCTCTCTTTTTCAGTCCCTCCAGGAGAGCATCTCTCTTTCTCCCTTCTCCTTCTCCTTCTTCCTCTAAAAGGACACACTGTTCTTATTTTAAAATTGATAGATGAATAGCTCTAAAACTTTCAAAGTGGTGAAAAGAATAGAACAGCTGGTGTGCTGCCAGGCGGCTCAGCCGGTTGGAGCGTTGTCTGGTGCACAGGAGAGGGTGAGGGCCCGGCTCCCAGCCAGGGCACACCTAGGGGCCCGGTTCCATCCCCAGACGGGGCACCTAAGGGAGGCAACCAACTGATGTTTCAGTCACATGAGTGTTTCTCTCTCTCTCCTTCTCTCTCTCAAATCAACAGAAACATATCCTTGGGTTAGGATTTAAAAAAAAGAATAAAGCAACCCTGCTATGCTATACATATATACAATGTTTTTATGTTGTTGCATAAGCCATTTTGTATCTCATTTTTTTCCACTTGACAAACATTTTTTCAAAGTGTAAGAATGAAATTTCTACACAAATTTTATTATATTACACTCAAGCCTGAAAAAACTGAAAACAGGATGGAGTAATTAGAAGGGTTAAATAATATTTTTTATGTAGAGTGCTTGGCTCAGTGCCTTGCACAGAAATATAACTTAAAAATTTGGCTACTGTTAATAATAATAGTTATTAATAGCGGCTCATGACTCCACATAAATAATAAAATCTAAAACATTCTTTCCTCTGTCTCTAGGCTCATTGCTCGCCCATCCAGCTATCCTGAACTCCTGCCTCTTCTAGAACACGCGGTAGGTTCACCCACGTCTGTATCACCGTCCAAGCTGCTTTTCCTTCCTGGGACATTCTCCATCAACTCATACACCTACTCTCATTTATCCTTCAAGTTAAGCTCACAGGAAATTCCCAGTGTGGAGCCTGCCTGGGCTGCGAATGCATTTTCTGAGACTTCAATAGAGCAACTATTATTATTTCTTTTACTCGCAATTGCTCATTTTCATGTCAATTTCCTTACTCGTCTGTCAAGCTAAAAGCAAGAACTATGTATTTTCAGCTTTGTGTTCTTTTCCCATGTGTTGCAGAATACCTGAACAAAACAGATACTTAACAAGCATTTATTACATGAATAAACTCAATATATATTTATTTGATAAAAAAGAATCTATTAAATGATATATTATACACTGCAATATTCAGTTTCTTTGAAAAAAATGACCAAGATATCCTTGTAATGATGCTTACAATATTCATTTCTTCTTAGGCATTCAAAGGTAAACTTCACCTTCGCCTAGATAGAATATGGAAAAAAAACTGAATTAATGAGGTCTGCAGCTGTGACATTTTTATTGTATGATATTTTCTTATATAAGATAATTCCCTGGTAGATTAATCATTTATTGAAGCATAAGCTTTCCAAAATTATATTCTATGAAAAAGAGAGTTTATAGTTAAGATTATAAGAATATAAATCTAAAGGTCAGTTAGATCAACATTTTAGAATGTCAACAGTCAGGAAATGTTTAACAATGTCACCCAAATAAGACGCTCTTCCAGGTTTGCTCAACAGCTACATTGCTGATTTATAACTAAAGTCATTTCAGAAAGGATAAGGCTGTTCCTTCAGGCCAATATATGCAGTCTTCTATTTGACTGACAGAATGAATAATCTATTTCTGCTGTACATCTTTTTAATAAGAGTTTTTATTCAGACTTACACATGCATGTATCTTCATAAGCAAATAATTCCACAAGACATTATACAAAAGAATAAAAATAAAATTCCTCCACCTCCCCCATCCTGAGTTCCTTCTTCTCAGAGGCAATTATTTGCGACTCTTTTAGCTGTTTCTGTATTTAGCTCCACTTTTATAACTAACCAGCTTTGTGCTTTTCTTTAGTTTTCATTTCTCAGGTGGGGATAAAACATTCATTCTCTCACCTCCTCCGGGCCCTACGATCCCCTTCATACCATCCTGCCCCCATTCCGTGCTGGTAGTGAGCTCCACAGTCATTGTTTGTTTTATTACGATGTTGTAAACACAATTCTTAACTCAGCCAAGTAGTAAACTTTAGTTTTCCATTCCTAAACTACTTTGTTTTCCTAGAGCTAGTATCTTACAGTTTCCTATGTACTTACTCATTCAATCCCAAATACTTTACCATTGTTTCAGTGGAGTCAGGTGTTCTATCAGTTTTCTCTCCCTGAAGGAATATCTCCTGGAGCCTTTTACCATCCAGACCGGCTGATTTTATGCCCAGTGCATAGCTCCCGGCCTGAAAACCCTAAGCAGCCACCCTCTTGGGGGTGTCGCTGGCTCTGTCCTGTGGCCTTCCCGTTTCCTGTATCCTATACAGGCCTCCTTTCTCATTTTGGAGGACCACAGCATCTAGTGTCTTCATAAGGAAAAGCTCGTGGGAGTAAATTTCCAAGATGCTGGATGACTAAACATGTGTTTATTTTGCCTCATATTTAATTGATGGTTTGGCTGAGTATGGAATTCTGGTTTAGGAAATTGTATCCTTCAATGCATTCGAGCATCACTCCCATATTTAGTTTCTGGGTCTCTGGAACCTAATTTTCTTATCTCTCCTATTTTATATCACTTCATCCCTTGCTTTCCTTTCTAGAGGATTTGGTGAGCTTTATCGTGTAATAACTTTATGAGTTTTTCTCTTTTTCCCCCCTACCACATTTTAATTTCCAAGAGCACTTTTACGTGCTCTCAATGTTAGGTTTTGAAGGTGTTTTTTTAAGTGTTCTCATTTCATAGTTGCAATATATTCTTTTATTGCTCTCAGATATTTGCAGCTCTTTTATTTGTCTGTGTTTTATTTCCTCTCTGCATGGGCTCTGTTTTCTCCAAATCACCTTTTTCTTCGCGTGTCTCTTATTTTTTTACATGGGAAGTCTTCACATTCTCGAGTCTGCCTACATTAAAAAGTATTGAAATCTGGGCAGCTAAGGGGGATGGTGAGCTGTGAGCTACCCTGTAGGATGACCTGTCTCAACTGTTTCGATGGGGAAATTTTTTCAATCCTTTCCTTAGGTTGTTTGGATTACAAATATCCAATATCTCTTTAGGAGTGCGAAAGCCAGGCAGCCAGTTTCCCGAGAGCTAGATGGGAGAAGCCCTGGGATGGGGGTGTATGCGACATTCACTCAACCCCCATGTTGCTCCCCTACCTTAGCTCCTTCCAGTGTCACCCAGCACAACCGCCTTCTGCACGTGTCTCTAAAGTATAGCTCCCATGCCACAAACAAACAGTCCAAGTCTTTTCTCTAAGGTGAGGACAGGGAAATTGCTAGGTTGGGGAGGGGGGCACGGGCTGTGGAGATCTGACAGCTTCTTAAACAGATTCCCACCAAGGCTTTCTCACTCTGCGGCCGCCTCCAAACAGCTTATGCTTTCAGTTCCTGTGCCCGGAGAGTCTTGGAATTCGCGGATCTGCAGTTTGCAGGCCCGGTTGACTCCTGGCCTCCTCTCTGCTGCGGCTAGCCTTCCGCAAATCCTTGAGCACGCACCAACGTTTTTAAGAGGTGTTTGGTTACTCTCTCCTTCTCCCTCCTTTTATTTCTTTGGGTTTATGCCTCAAAACGCTTTCTTTTCTGTTGGGTCTGCCTAGAAAATGCTCCTGCTCTTTTCTCGACATCCTTCTGCTCCGCCTTGAACTCTGGCAGATGTCTGTTTCTCTGTTAGATTCGTTTCGGAATCAACAGGGACCTACAGCTTGCTAAGTTCAGTGTGGCTTTCTTTATGCGACAGGGGGTGGGGTGCATGACCCAGAGGTCCCCCTGGACACGGACGCTTGCCCTTCCCTTTGGGAATGCTGCCTCAGTGTCTCCGCAGAAGCCACTCTTGCAGGAGGAGAGCAGCCTTTCCTAAGTTTCTCGGCCCTGGGTTGCTGCCTCCGGGAATCAGGGCGCCTGGGAATGGCCATGCCAGCCTCAGGCCTCTGCCCTGTCCCGAAGCCACCCTCCCCGACGGCCCCCCAAGTAGAGTTCCCAGTGGCCTCCCCAGT